GCAAACGAGAGAAACGGGAAGAGAAACGTTAAAGCGATAAAACAGAATGAATTCTTAAAGATGATAGAAAATAAAATGATAAAGATCCAGGTGTTCGAAGACACGCGGAAGGCGTCAGGCGATCTAGAAGTTCTGTATAACTAGGACTGTTCCTTTCGGTTCGGCAAGAGTTCTAATCCCCGGATTCGATGGTCCGAAGCGTTTTCAGCGATGTGCTTCCCCGGTTGTCCCGTCGAATCGCCGGGGCCTCGACTTTTCCCCGGAGTCGATCAACACATCGAGGCACAAACGCGGCCAACCGTGAGCGATTAATTGGCCAGCGGCGCGCATCGGCATTGGTTTCTGAACGACACACGACCGGAACAACTGACGAACAAACGAACCGTGACGCGACCGGGGGGGCGGGACGGGGGTGACAACTACGTACATACATACGTAACGAGGAAACCAGAGCCGCGAATCGGCGGACGGGGTGCGATCGCGAGAAAAAGAGAAGAAGTAGACAGGCCGCGCGAGCCGGTCGGAGAAGGAACGAGGAGTAGAGAAAACGTATAGGAATTATTCGAGCGCGTCTAGCAGCGATCGATTAAATATTTCACCCACGGTTGATTTGCATCCGGCTAATGATATTCATAGATTCGGATTCTCCGTCCCAGCCGACCGATATCCCGCGATTCTCTTCGACGACGCGCGGCAATCGCGCCTTCCTATTACAGTAAATTCTCCCTAATTCGCGCTCAGATCGCGCGCAAAAATGGCCAATTTGGGAAGACGAGATACGATTAACACGTTGAATGCCACGGGGGTCACCGGTGACCGGCACTTAACTTGGCGGTGACGCCGTGGGTGCCACCGGTGACCGGCGTGCCCAAATTGATAGAAATATATGTAATTTAAAAGAAATGTCAATATCTAAAATTTGGTATTATTACCATCGTCGGTTCAAACAGTGACCCCTGTCGCAATTAACATGTCAAACGTGGTTATATACACTGTAACTTATCTATTGCAGATAATATTTCAACGTTATATGTATCGCATAAAAGAAAATTCATCGCGGCGCCACGGACAATTCCTGTAAAACCGGCGTGGCATTCAACGTGTTAATCGCGGCTCATTTTCGTAGTTGCCGATTGTCAGCGATCATAAATTCCCAATAAATAAATTCCCAATCGGAGAGAATTTCTCAGCCCTCCTCTCACTTGTCGAACACTTCGTCATTTGGTCTACACCGTTTCCGTTAAAACTCAGTGGAACAGCTATATTCTATTCTCGATCGAAATCGTCGCGACGATCCTTCCGCAGACCAGCGTGTAGTCACGGAGAATCGCGTAATCCGCGGTCGGAATTTATATCATGCTCGGAATTAATCGGGGACCGATAGATTCGTAAACACGCGACGCGTAACGAGTTTACGCAATGCTTCCGATAATTAAACTGCTTATTGTGCATTAATTATAGAATTTTAGGACTGCCTCGATACGCGAGCGCGGCGTAAATTAGAGACGCCGACGATAATCAGTGAGAAGGGTTTTCGCTTTTCGCGATAAGATACGAACGAATTCATCGCGCACCGCGATCGTAGCATTATGCAAAAAAAAACGTGCAACAAACGTGACGAAGCGTTCGAGCTATGCGCTTTCGAATCGTTCCCAATCGTTCGAATCGTTTCACCGGTTTCAGATCAAAACAGTGTGTACAGTTATTCACGCGAGAAATATGTTATCTGTCATCTTGTTCCCCATTCATATCGAGATAAACATTTCGCTCGGCTGTCCACGGTAGACTGAACAGGCAACGACGCGCTCGTTCCGGCGTCTCTGCCGCGGAAGGGTTGAAAGAGAACGGTCCCAGGATCTCGCACCCCGGTTTTCTTTTTTCGTCTTTATTTCGCGACTCGTTATCTCGGCCCCGTAGCCGCGACTTCTGCGAACGGAGAGCGATCGTAATTTCCAGACAGCGATAAGGTTAAACGAGAGAGCTCTTCCGAAGCG